CTCTCTCTCTCTCTCTCTCTCTCTCTCTCTCTCTCTCTCTCTCTCTGGAAAGAAATCAGCTGTTGATGGACCCCACAGTATATGAATACTCAAGACTGTGTTTCTCCTTTCTTAGTGTCACCTTTCTAGAGGATCAAACAGAATGTCAAAAACTGTCCCCTAGTATTCTAGCCACATCAGTACAGATGTAATTGTACTTGGCAGCCATAGGGTGGCTCCTATATCTACTTGGATTTAACCTTGGTCTTTTTAATTCCATTTTTTTTTGGGGGGGGTGTTTCGAGACAGGGTTTCTCTGTGTAGCCCTGGCTGTCCTGGAACTCACTCTGTAGACCAGGCTGGCCTCAAACTCAGAAATCCACCTGCCTCTGCCTCCCAAGTGTTGGGATCAAAGGCGTGCGCCACCACCGCTCGGCCCTTCAATTCCTCCTTATTCCCAAGTATTCTGGAATTAGGGGAGGCCCCCTCACGATCTTGAAAGGTAGGTTCTATGGATGGAAACAAGGTGGCGAGCTTCGCACACCCGTCTAAAGGAGATGCATTTGTCCTTCTCTTTCCTGTCCTCTCCAACAGGCCCAAGAGGCTCTGTCTGGGGAGAGGATGGTCATACTCACTCTTCGTTGACAAAGATGAGTTCCACGGAAGTTTGTCTGTTGCTTACGCTTATGTCAACCCCTAAAGTGTGTAAGGAAACACAGGAAGTGAAAACTAAGGCTGGAGTGGACCCCGTATGTGGAAGACCGGGGCTCAGGGCAGGGGACTGGCAGGGGATTTGGGCGGGAGGATGAGCCCCAGTGAACTGTACCCATGAGCTCCGCCTCCTCAGTGCTGGAGTTGCCCGCCACCAGCTGTTCCTCCTCGGCGTTGATCAGCTCCTGCAGCACCGCCTCCACAATGGGCATCACCATGGCCGTGGTGGAGGTGTTGGAGAGCCACATGGACAGCATAGTGGTACAGCACATGAAGCATAGCAGTAGCCTGGAGGACAGGACAGTTAGAGCAGAGCATTATCCTGCTGAATTGTGATGCTTATGACCCCTAGGTGCTACTCAGCTTCAAACTCCCAGAGCTTGGTGCAGAGGAACCCTTTATTTTAGCTTTGGTCTAGCAAACAAGTCCCATAATGTGACTAGTGACTTTGGCCAGAAAGAAGGCTTTTAAAGAAGGAAGGGATAGCTTTGATAGAAAGGTCCCAGGCTATGGACTCAGTGGTTGCTCCCTTCTCTCTGTGTGGACGTTAGGTGGAGCTCTGTGGTGTGTCTCATGTGCATAAGGGGATTCTTTCCCCTCCCCCTGCAGCCAGCAAGTCTAGGGCACCCCATGCTCTGTGCAAGTCAGCATAGTTATTTGGGAGCAAACAGAGATAAATGCCTGGCACTTGGTTCTCCCACGACTTGTCCCAGTGCCAACTAGCTGCAAGGATGGCTGCAAAGCCACAGAAGTCTCCCCCTGTCGCCGCTTGTGTGCGTGTCTCCAGCTGGTCTCTGAAAGAGTCAAGCTTGGAGGAGCACAGAACAAAAATAACCTTCAAAAGATTTCCCTTTGACTTTGAAGCACGGTGCAAACTGTTGCCTGTGCAGACCTGGGGCCCGTTGCCTAAGAGAGGTGGAGACAAAGATGACTTGTTTATATTTCAGATGACTTTGCACAGTCTGGGGACAGCACATGTGTGGATTGTGCCCAAGCAGGGATGAGTCCTGGCAGTGTTTTGTTTAAGCTGACAGCGACATAGCTCTTATGTTTGGTGCACCCGCCGATAGCGTCCTGTGCCGGTACGAATTTGCTGGGTGGTGTGGTAAACAGGGAAGAAGGCAAACAGACAGGTGAACATTCTTGTTGAGGAGTATAAAGTCTTCAAGAGCTATGCAGGGGCTGGAGACGTGGCTCGGGGCTGGAGTGCTTGCTTAGGGCAAGCGCATGGGTTTGCTCCATTCATTCTCCCCACCTCTCCCCCAGTACCACAAGGGAAACAAAACAAAACAGAGGAGAGACAAAGGAGCCACAAGGCCCCACTATGTTGGAAGAAATGTCCCCGTGTGCCTAGGAAGCTGAGTGGGCAGATGGTTGTAGGGCCTGTGTGGATTAAGCTGTCGTTAGCAAGGCTCTGCTTAGCAACCTGGGAGGCAGGGACAGGATTCAGAGTCCCAACATTAGTCTGAAAGACTAATGCTGAAAACAATGCTACATTGTTTCTAGTCTGTCCTTCCAGCTGGTGAGGCAGCTTACATCGGACTGGTGAGACCTGTGTGTGAACTAGGAGTGGAGAAAGGGAAGAGGAGCGAAGGAGGTCTGGTGCAGCGGAAACGAGGCTACGCTAAACTGTCCACTCTGCCGCCCTCACGTATGCTGTGAGGGTGAGGATGTCCCCTTGGTGGGCCTCTTAATGGCAGAGTGGAAGGAGAAAGAAGGAGCATGTGAGGCATGGTCGGAGACGACAGGCCTGATGGATCTGTGGTCTGAAGCGTTCTGCTCCACTGCCCTTAGCAACTCAGGTAGACGGGAGGAGATACTCATGGCTTCTTAAATGACAACGAAAAGCCACCTAATTCTTTGATCTGTGTGCACTCTAACCTACAGGCAAACATTGAGAAACTGTTTCTGTTGGTCCACTTTGTGCTTTTTAACAAGGCCCTCAGGTGTCGCAAACCCGCTGTCCTTGCTGTTGTCCAGGTTGTCAAGAGAATTCCTTAAATTCAGGTGATAGTAGCATCAGGGCTACTGTTCAGATCTGTATCCCTCGGTTATCGGGATCTCTCTCACAGGTGCGGGAGGTAGGAGTCCATCATTCTGATGTCATCTCCCACTCGGCAGAGGAGCTCAAGGACACCTCCTGCTGTGACTCGGGTCACTGCCCCAGGACCCCACACGTGACTCACATGCCAGGCTTGGCTCCAGCCATCAAGACCATGCGCAGGGCGATGCGCTTGTGTAAATTCCACTTCTCCACAGCTGCTGCCACGCAGATGACGCCCACCAACAGCAGCGTGGTGTTCTTGAAGTACTCAGCCGCCACCTGTAGGGAGGTCAGGAAGGCCGGTCACCAGCCGGGAGAAGGCCATGGCCAGTACAGTGTGTTCTCAGAGTCAGAGGCTTGTGAAGCAGGAGCGGGGGTGGGGGGGTGGGGGGGTGGGGGGCTTATTCAAATAACTGAGTATTTCCTTATCTTCTTCAGCTCTGAGATCAAACCCAGGGCCTTTCCCATGCTGGACAAGCATTCTACCGCTAGCTAAGACAGTTGATTATTTAAAAATACCAACTCGGGGGCTGGAGAGATGGCTCAGTGGTTAAGAGCACTGACTGCACTTCCAGAGGTCCTGAGTTCAAATCCCAGTAACCATATGGTGGCTCACAACCATCTGTAATGAGATCTGATGCCCTCTTCTGGTGTGTCTGAAGACAGCTACAGTGTATTCATATATAATAAATAAATAAATCTTTAAAAAAAAATAGCAACTCCACTAGGTGTTGGTGGTGCATGCCTTTAATCCCAGTACTCGGGAGGCAGAGGTAGGTGGATCTTTGACTTTGAGGCCAGCTTGGTCTACAGAATGAGTTCCAGGACAGTCAGGGCTACACAGAGAAACCCTGTCTCAAAAACTAAGAACTAGACTTACTGCCACACTCAGTGGGATAGAATTCTTTTTTTAAATTTTTATTTATTTATATTTATTTTATTTTTTGGAGGGGGGATAGAATTCTTGAGGGTGCTTTTACAATTTGATTTCCTTTTCTCCTCTATTTCACTCAAATGAGAAAGAACTGATACATTAATAAAGAAAGAATAAAGTTATATTTTTTATCCTTCACTTTAGTTAGCCCTCCCTTCTTGTCCACATTGTCTCCCCTGTACATCTCGCCCCATTCTTGTTAGATCATTCTGTTCCCAGAATTCCTTTCTTCACCACTCATTCCCAGAATCCCTTTCCTCGCTGCCTGTTCCCAGCATCCCTTTCCTTATCATTTATGTCCTGCTACGTTCTCACTTGGAACATTCCGTCTTCATCTCTGATTGTACATTCAGAACAAACTTCAAAGCCAGGTTCAGGCCTGGTGCCCTCCAGAACACCTTCCTTTGCTTGTAGCCTCTGATTGCTCCCTGGGGACACTATTAATTCCTTGCACTGCAGAACACTCAGGGCTAGGCTGGGATTGCAGCTTTAGTTAATTCCACACACCATGGAGTGCTCGGGGCAAGGCTGAGATCAGGAGTGTACTGCGGGTTGGCTGAGTTTTTATATCCACCTCTTCAGTCTTTTAGTAAAACCTTCGGATTGCCAACAGCGAAATAACATGCAAAAGCAGATATCCAATAACTAATAGTCACATAGTTGGAGGATCCATGGCAGAAAGTGGGGAGATGAATTTTCAACCTAAAATGTATTTTAAGGTGACAAAGCAAGAACAATTTTAACCGCAGGAAAAATAATCGAGCTGTAAAGGACATTTACATATAGTAAAATATGTGGAAGTCATATATATATGTATATGTGTGTATGTGTGTGTGTGTGTGTGTGTGTGTGTGTATCTTCATCCACATTAGGAGTTATCTTTTGATTATTGAATGTAAAAAAGTTGAGGGGCTAGGAAAATGGCTTGCTGGATAAAAGTATATGCCAGCTGGCCAGAACCCATGTTAAAAGCTAAATTTGGTAGCATTCATCTGCAATCCCAGGACTCCTGTCGGGAGGATGAGAGGCAGAGACAGAGTCATCCGGAAGCTCTTGGGTCAGCTACACTGTCACATTGTGGCAGAAACAAGAGAGACCCTGCCTCAAACAAGGTGGAAAGCAAGAACTATTTCCTTAAAATTGTTCTCTGACCTCCATACGTACACGGTGGCATATACACACATGCAGTCATACACATACATGCACACACATGCACATGCATACACAGGCACATACACAGTCATGCACACACACACAGACACCTCCCCCCACCCCAAATCCAGTTAGTTACTGACTGGAGAGTGAAGCGAGACGCAGTGGGAGGTGTCAGGGAACATAGCGCTCATCTGTCATAGTGAGAAGTGTCATCTAGTAATGACAACAACTAATGCAACAGCGTGTCGGGATATGGTGATTAATGCCAAGGGGTAGCCGAGTTGGAAGGTAGGGAGTCTGAGGCTGGATGGGAGGGACTCGGTAAAAGAGCAGTAAGGAAGGAGTCTGCTGGCTTTCACGGTAGGTTCTCTGTTATCACTCAGTTTTAAACTTTGTTCAAATAACCCAACACGGCCACAGCAAAAGCACCCGCTCCATGGCTCTTCATTCTCTTTTGTCCCATGACAATCTCATTGGCTTGAGTTGACATGATTCATGCCTGTAACCGTTTTCTAGGAGGCAGAGACCTGTGCTTCTGGTGGACCTAGCTCTTGTCCCAAGCTTACCTCTCAGCTGATCACGGTCACTAATGGTCCTAGGGGCCATAGAAGGTCTTCTACTGTGAGTGGCTTGAATCCTTTCTGGGAAAGACACTGACTTAGGAGGAGTGAGCATAGCTGGATGCTTGCAGGCTCACTGTGGGGATCAAGTACCTTTCTAGTTTCTTTCTTAGGCCTCTGTGAGTTAGCTTGGGGACAAGGTTGTATTTTCCTTTGTCTGCCAAGGGGGAACCCCATAGCAGACATGAGACATGGAAAGTGTGGGGAGCAGTCCCTCTATCACACCACGATCCCATTCTCTGCTGGTGAAGAGTTGATGAAACCATAACTTTTTTCCTGGGAAGACTGGTAACAATGTGTTCTCTGTTTCTTTGGCATGTGACATCCCATAACACCAGTTTGTCTGTGATGTCTTTTAGAAGGCTCAGTGAATGCTATACAGAGGTAAAACCTTTCTCTGGGTCCCACCCAAGAGTAAGAGGAGGAACTTCAGGTAGACTAGGGCACCTTCCCCATTCCATGAATTTCACAGTTTGCATTTGCTTGCTCTTCTGAGTCCTGCACCTGTCTGTCCTATTGGACATATACTGGCTGAGTTTAACTTTAAGATGAGCAAACTCAGAGCGTTTGAGGAACATGTCTTAGGTCACAGTGCAAGGGCAGAGGCAGGTATCCGAGCACAGATGAAGCTGAAACCTGCGAGGTAACATGCTGTATAAGGTGGGTCAACTGGAAACCAGTTGGGAGCAGACCAGTCAGTGTCCAGAAAGCACTGGCCAGCACACGTTTCCAACCCTCACACTCACAGTCCTGACCCTGGTTGTAACTGCTGAGGCCTGGTGCCAATCAAAGACTCGGCTCCAGTATGTTATTAGCTTTGTGTTGTTTTCTCATTGTTTGATGGGTTTAAATCAATTCAAATGCCCTCCCTGAACTCTTGTATCTGAGCCAGGGGCTCTGGCTAGAGGCTGTGCATTCAAAGGTAGCATCCTTAAGTAGAAGGAATGAGAATTCCAGAGCCAGTTACCCTAGGAAGATTATGCAACCCTCCTCAGTTTTATTCTGTAAATGAAAAACAGGATTATGTAAATTCCTACCTTGTAATGTTGTTGCCAAGATTAAATGCCAGTTGCAAACCTAGCTAGCATGGCCTGCCACATCAACAACCAGGATTTCTGGTGCCTCTTCCTGTTCCTGGGTACTTGCTCAAAACTGGACCTAGTCTGGGGAGATCAGCAGCACACTGAGCAGGCTCATGAACAGAGCAAAGCCACCCACAGGCCTGCTGTTCACAATGGTAAATGAAAACCTTGCTCAGGGGTGGTGTCTACAACCTTTCTAGTGCACTGACTTCTCTTCCACTGTAAACTTGCTTATTTAGAACTCCTCCAGGGAATCTCCAAGTCTCCAGATTCCTGAGGATTATCTTAACCACTTTCTAAAGCATGCTGCAGTGACAGTTTTGGAACTTTGGCCCAGCAGTGCCCACACAGTGGCGAGCACACCCGACTAGCTGCTGTCAGTTCTGACTCTCCCTTCCCCTGTCCACATCTTACACATTTTCTGTCTTAGTCTCAGGCCATGCAGTGTCCTTTATCAGGACAAACATCCTCAGCCATCCTTTCCCCAAGTTTCAGTACTCACTGGCTTGGAAGACTTAATAGCAGAACCTGTTAGAGTTACCTGCAAAGCAGCACTAGGTTCTAACAGCACTCCTCCCAGGAAGAAAGCACACGGATTTGTGATGAGTGTGAGCAGTCAATGCTTTCTCTGCCTTTCGGTTCTCTGGCTTTCCTCAGGCTATCACACTCTTGACCTTGGAGTGAATAAGTGTTTTTTAGAACAGATGGGTCCCCTTGAAAAGATGCCATTACAGAGGGGTACAGTGAAGAGCCTGGGCTCTGGAGATTAGCCAGTGGCTGTTACCCCTGCCTCACTCCCACCTGTCTCACCCAGGAGCTGCAGGCTCCATGACAAGCTAATGGACTCCATAGTGGTCCCTCTGGCCAATGAAATAGCAACAGCAGAGATATATAACTCACTAAATAATAGTCATGGCCTTGGCGGCCTTGAGTGAGACAGAACAGCTGGGCCCTCAGACGGATCAGCAAGAAGTACTTATTAAAGAACTCAAAGCCAGGGGGTGGGGAGTGAGGCTAGGGCTCTGGCAGGCCAGCACAAGCAAATGAAGGAAATAAGAGAAGAAAATGTCAGGAAAGACAGACCAGACCTGGAAGGGATCCTTCCAGGTTTCCTCAGTGAGAGGGACTGCTCCCAAAGAGCTATCAACCTGTGGGACAGGATGCCTATTGACTAGTCTTGTGTTAAAGAATTGCAGATGAGACCTTAATTAGTTTTAAATATTACGTTACCTGGACACAAATCTACTGATGACTACCTGGACACAGCCATCTGTTTACCTGCAGTTTTACTTTCCTGTGGTTTTAGTGACTCGTGGCTAAGAGTAGTTAACAAATATTAAATGGAAAATTCCAGAAACAATCTCTACGTTTTAACTTGTATTCTTCCTAGAGGAGTATGAACTCTCCTGTCTCGCATTTGGCCCATGGGCTATCCCCATGTATCTACTCTGTATAGGCTGCTCCCCCACCAGCCGAATAACAGCTATATTAGTCATTACAGTCACTGGTGTACTG